GCGGCACCACCGGCACCACCGGCACCGGCACCACCGGCACCACCGGCACCGGCACCGCGCACGTCAGCTTCGTGTGCCAGCGCTGCCTGCAGCCCCTCAAGCTCGACACCTCCTTCAAGGTCCTCGACCGCCTCACCATCCAGGAGCTCACCGGTACCACCGGCGGGGGGGGGGGGGACTGAGGGCCGGGGTGAGGCCCAGGCGCGGGCCCGGCTGATGCCTCCCTTCTCTCCCGCAGCCCCACTGGTGACCGCAGCCCCTGCCCGGCCCGGGGACGCGCGCGAAGAGGAGAGCGCCCTGACGGAGGTACGGAGGGGTCGGGGGCGCGGCGGCGGCGGCGGCGGCTCCGCCAGGCCCCCACCACCACCGGTGACGGTGCCCCCCTTGCCCCCAGGAGGCCTTCGCGGAGAACCGGCAGGATGGCGTGTCCAGGAGGTTCATCCCTCCAGCCAGGTACGGGCGCTGCCGCCGCGCTCCCAAGCCGGGCCCAGCCCGGCTCGGAGCCCGCCGGACCTTAGAGCCTCCCCCGCGGGATCCCCGTGGCCCTCGGGCTGCTCGGCAGTTCTAACACAGAACTGCTCATCGCTCGGGGGGCTGCTCCCCAGCTGTGGGTCAGACCCGGTAGAGCCCCCAAAACACGGGATTGGTCCCCCTGTGTGCTCCTCCCCACTCCTGGCCCAGCCCCAAGGCCAGGTCTGGCACTGGGGCTGCCTCCCTCGGCACTCACCTCAGTAATGTTCTTTCCAAGAATGATGTCGACAGAGAGCGCCAACAGCTTCACCCTGATCGGGGAGGCGTCGGATGGCGGCACCATGGAGAACCTCAGCCGGAGGCTGAAGGCAAGTGGGACTCGAGCTGGTAAATTTGGGTACTTGTGAATGCAGCATCGGTTTTGCTGGATGCCCTGCAAAACTGAACTGCAGAGTTCCGCAAAGCACTGGCCTTCCAGGGGGGCTTGGTTGGTGAGTAGTTCAGTAAAGCTAGATTGTATTAATCGATATTTGGCCTCCAAAGAAGACTTTGCCGACAGGGGCCGCTGAGAGCCAGCAGGCAGCTGCCTGTAGCCCCACCTGCACTCAGGTGAGCTCTTCCTGCAGGTCACCGGCGACCTCTTTGACATCATGTCTGGGCAGACAGACGTGGATCACCCCCTGTGTGAGGAGTGCACGGACACCCTGCTGGACCAGCTGGACACGCAGCTCAACATCACGGAGAACGAGTGCCAGAACTACAAGTGAGTGATCCAGAGGTAACCCGAGACCAAGCTGTGTAGGTTGAGGCAGGACCAGCACGGAGACGTCAGGGTTGGCAAGAGGTGCAGAGGCTGCCACGGAAGCGAGGACTGGCAGTGGGGCACTTCCTAGGATCCCTGTTTTGGTAATCCTGTCTGCTCTCCTTTAGGAGATGTCTGGAGATACTGGAACAGATGAACGAGGACGATAAGGAGAAGCTGCAGACAGAACTGAAAGAGCTGGCGATGGAGGAAGAGCAGCTGATTCAGGAGCTGGAGGATGTGGAGAAGAACCGCAAGATTGTAGCTGAGGACTTCGAGAGAGTCAGGGCAGAGGCCGAGCGGCTGGAGCAAGAGGAGGCTCAGTGAGTGAACTGTACCTGCAGCTTGTGATGGGGGTTCAAGGCAACAAAGAAATGAGGTTGTAATGTGTGAAACCTGTAAATGTGCCCAGTGGCTTGTCCTGTGCATAAGGGAAGGTGGCCAGACCAAACTGACCCAGAGAGCCATCCCTCTGATGTAAAAAGGTGGCACTTAGCGCTTCTTGTCTTGCTTTTGCTCAAAGGTATCAGAAGGAATACTGTGAGTTCAAGAGGCAGCAGCTGGAGCTGGATGACGAGCTGAAAAGCGTGGACAACCAAATGCGCTACGCCCAGATGCAGTTGGATAAATTAAAGAAAACCAACGTGTTCAACGCCACCTTTCATATCTGGTAACGTGGGCACTGGGACATCGTGTCCATTTGCTTGGAAGCTGCAGTGTGGGGCTGTTTCAGTCACACTGCGTTCAACAGGAGCCCCGTCATGTGTGTGGCTGGCACTGTGTGTGCCGTGCTGCTGGGACACGGCCCCTGTTTGGTTCTTGTGCCGGGAGCTGTTCCCAGCCCAGCACACTTATTTATAATCCCTCTTATCGCAGGCACAGCGGGCAGTTTGGCACAATAAACAACTTCAGGCTTGGCCGCCTCCCCAGCGTTCCTGTGGAATGGAATGAGATCAACGCTGCCTGGGGCCAGACAGTGCTGCTGCTGCACGCCCTGGCCAACAAAATGGGCCTGAAGTTTCAGAGGTACACACAGAACCACACACAGGTCCCTTTACAGCCCAGAGAAAGGCAAGGCAGACTGAGGTGCCTGTGAATCCTGTCTCCTTTCAGGTACCGTCTTGTCCCCTATGGCAACCACTCGTATTTGGAGTCCCTCACGGATAAATCCAAGGTGAGAGATCTGCACAAAGCATGGGACATTGACCTTGAGTGCCCTGGTCACCCTGGGAATGCAGCAAACTTGGTGAATGTGGGGTCCAGGAGAGCTGGCTGCCACAGCTCCTCCAGCATGGTAACATCTCACTCCACATCCTATATCCAGCCCCTGGTTCTGCCAGCCCGTGGTGTTAAAAGTGACAGAACTGCTGAATGACACACCATAGCTGGCTGGAGGCAGGTGATTTGGGGTGGGTGGAGTGATTTGGGATTGGTGGAGGTCAGGAACGCTTGCTGGGCACTGAGACAAAACCAGTCACACTCGCTCTGTGCCTCTTTTCCAGGAGCTCCCCTTGTACTGCTCTGGAGGCCTGAGGTTCTTCTGGGACAATAAGTTTGACCACGCCATGGTGGCATTCCTGGACTGTGTGCAGCAGTTTAAAGAGGAGGTGGAGAAAGGTGAAACTCGGTTTTGTTTGCCTTACAGGTGAGTGTTGCCACGTAACTGTCAAATTAACCCCTGTGTGCTGTCCCCAGCACTGCTTGGTGTTTCAGTCTTGGCTTTCTGGGATTCTTTATCATGTGCACTTAGATTAATTGAAATTTAAAGCCAGCCCCTAAGGTAAAGACCTGAGGCTTGTTAGATTCCCTTTAAAACCAAAGTATCCTTACAGGATGGTATGAATGTCAGGTTGAAAATTTAGTGCTTGATGTCATAGTGAAATTAAATGTTTCCAGGAGGAATGCACTAATAAAACCTTGTGTGTGATACAGGATGGACGTGGAGAAAGGAAAGATTGAAGACACAGGTGGCAGTGGTGGCTCTTACTCAATTAAAACACAATTTAACTCTGAGGAGCAATGGACAAAAGCACTAAAATTCATGTTAACTAACCTGAAATGGGGCCTTGCCTGGGTCTCATCCCAATTCTATAACAAGTAACCATGGTCATAATTTGCCCTGGCAGCTCTGGGTGTCTGCATTAACATTGGAGAAAAGTAAGTTGTCTCTTAATATTAACCAGTACAAAATGTTTACAATACCAAAAATCCACAAGACACTTTATTTAAAATGCCATTATTACAAGTAGTTTATAGAAAAGCAATATGCAAAGTTGTATCATTGAGTTGAACAGAATAAACTCAGCTATTAAATGGACGCTAAACTGGTACTTTTGGGGTTTATGGCCAATGTTATAAACACAGGGAATAACATGGAAAAACTCCCAGAACTCTGCCTGGTCATTAAAGAGTAATTACAGCGTGAAATAAAGTATTTTACAAGGCACATCAGCACTTCTTTGTACCACTGAGTTTAACAAGGTCCGATACCACTTAAAAGAGTTTGTAACCCCTCCTGCACCCTCTTCCTGCACAGGGCTGCACTGAGGAAACACTAAAACTGTTCCTCAGTCTGAGTGCTTTCCTTCAGCACTGCCTGGCACAGCACAAACCCTGACACTTAAAGGATTCTGTCCTAGTCACAATGCTGGTCGTTACTGGCTGTGGTAGGGCAAGAGCAAAAGTGCTCCAAGCACTGGCAGAGAGGAAACAGTCACAAGCAGCTGGAGACAGGGATTTTAGAAAAGCAGCAGGTGGAGACAGCACAGCAGAGTTCCAGACAAGGTGGTTCTATTTCAGGGGCAGAATCCTGCCCTTGGGAGCTTTGGCCCCACAGCTCCCGTGGTGCTGCCTGGGCACGGTGCTGCTGCCCAGGATGCGCCTCAGCACCGCGTACGAGAACTCCAGGATGCTCTGTGGAGTGATGCCAGTGATACAGTTCAAATGCTCCACAACCTGCAAGCAGAAAAGATAAAGAGTGCCTAAAGGCCATGAGTTAACAGCCCAAGTAGAGTAACTGCTCCCTGGGCACGTCTCACAGGGAGTTGTCCCATGGGATTGCTTCTCTACCTGCCAGCAAAACGCTTCCTGGCTGTGAAGCACTGAAGGCAAGGACACGCACCAGTGGCAGCACATGCTGCACCACACCACGGCCTCCTGAGGCCCAGGAGCTTCCTGCTAAAACCCCTGAGATGTTCCCTCCCTCGTGCCACTGCCAGCACAGCCCCACCTATCTCCTGGCTGCGCCGAAACAGATAAACCACCCTGGCGGCGTGTTCCTGTAGAGCCAACACGTCCAGCAGCGACTGTACCTGATCCCAGTGCCCAGGGCTCAGGATGAACACGCCCGTGCTGATGATTCCAACAGCCAAGAGCATGAAATCTTCCTTCACTGTCAGAAACTTGGCCCTGCAGAAGGAGAAGTGTGTTCAGGTGTAAAGTGCCGCTTCACAGCTCAAAAGCACCTGCTGCTGCAGTTGCCACAGCCCAGGACACGCTGGCTTATTCAGGCCAACCCAGGCCTGACCCTGGGAGCTGGAACTGATAGTGCATGGCTAGACCTGCATGACCAACTAAAACACTTTCCTTGCCCCTGAAGCAGCTGTGAGAGAAGCACGTTGCAGTGAACTGCTGTATTAAAGAAACAACGCTGAAAGCCCCCCAAATTAATTTTTTTTTTTCGAAAGATGCCCCCAAAAATGGCACCATGGGAATTAATGCTACTATTCATTAGCTTTTCCTTAGGGTTTTGATTTCAAAGGGTTTTTTTAAGTCATAGGTAAGACCCTTACACCTGCAGCTTGTTGGGTGTGGAGTTTTCGATGGCGATCTTCAGCAAAGTGTCGTAGATGGTCTCTCTGGTCAGGTAGCAGAAGTCCAGCAGCTGCACACACATTTGGTGCAAGGGTTTAGCAGGAAGCAAGCACCCATTGTGTCCTGGCAGAGATCACACCGTCAGCCCAACATTTCACTGGAAAGTGAAGCCCTGGACAATCTGAACAGTTCCACGTGCAAAAATCTCTAATGAGATGTTTTGGTTCAGATCAGCACCAGCTCTATTACCTTTTTTAAAAAGCTTCCTTCCCATTCTCTTTGATTGATATTCTCACCTAGAACCTCCAGAAGCAATTCCACGTAGGCCAACGGATTGGACACGTTGATGTGGAAGTGCAGAGTGTTTAAAACAGCAAGCTCTGACTCCAGCAACTCCTGTTTAGTGTAGGAGTATTTCAAGGACTGCAGAAATTTTAAAGCTTTGTCACTGGTCACTCTCTGAAGAGGAAAAAAGAGAAAAGGCATCTTCCAGGCAGTAAGGCCCTTGGCAGGAACCAAGTGCTCCCTCACCTCCCTCCTCCCACTGAGCGTGAGGCTGCGACTCCCCGGCCTGCCCTTTGAGCCGGCGTGAGAAACACAGCCTGGACCTTTCCCACAGTTTTCCTCAACTCCATAAACCATCCCCAGGCAGGTGTGAACCCCTGCAGCCACACAATTCTTGACAACCAGGGGGCTAAGTGTTTCCTGCCCCTTTTTTCCCCAGCACTGGGCACAAATCGTCACTGGGCAAGTGGCAATTTGCCTGCCCTGGAGGGAATGTCATGTCTTTCGCGTTTCATTATTGTCTCTCAGAGAGAAAAATCTATTTTTAAGAGAGGTGAACACAGTGCAGATTGAACCCCACTGCTAGAGCAAGGACAGGCCGAGCTGGCTTACGCTATAGTGCAGGGAGAGTTTGCTCGCGAGCTGAATGCACGACACGAGTCGCAGGACAAAGGTGTTGACTATCTCATCCCTCACAGAGCTCCAGGTGCTCCCTTGTCCTTGGGCACCACCTTTAACACTCCCACTGGAGGACTCCCACATCTGCTCTACCTGCTTGATCATAAACCTGCAAAACCCACAGTTGCTCAGAGCACAGTTGTCTTTTTTGCTGAGAAGAAGGAAGAGAGGCAATTCCACATATATTCAGAGTATACACAGAGCTGGTAATGTGGATTAAATGGATGAAGAGACAGAGCACACACAGACATCGTGTGTAGTTTGGGTGAGGGGACAGAGCAGGACAGGGCAGGACAGAGCGTGGGCAGCGCAGCCAGAGAACACGAAACACACCAAGCGTTCCGCGCTCTTGTTACCTTTCGAGCAACTCGACTGCTTGGTACCTCGTTGATTGGTCCAAGTGCCATTTTTCAGACAAAAGGAATACAAATTCTGCAAAGAGCACAGCAGCCACCGGTTCAGTCTCCTGAAGCTCACTCGCACAGCTGTGACCCACCCCGGGGTCCGCTGCGGCCGCGTCAGCCTCACCCACGATCCGCGTGTCCTTGAAGCTCCCGGCGTGCTCCGGCAGCTCGCTCAGGTACCGCTCGTTCTCCGTGGCCAAGTGGATCAGCGCGTCCTCGATGATTTCGGGAGCGACCCCGCTGAACACGGGGCCCGGGTCACGGCCGTAGGGCTCCGCGGGCACGGGGGACCCCATTTCATTCAGCGGGTCGGGGGGGGCCGAAGCCACAATGACGCCAACGGTTCCACCAGCCCCACAGAGCCCCGGCAGCACCCCCGGAGGCACCGCTGGGAGGGCCGGGCCCGCCGGTGACGCCGCGCCCGGGGCAGGGGCGGGTTCGGGGACGGGCCCGGGGCGGGTTCGGGGACGGGCCCGGTGGCGGCCGGCCCAGCCCACGCCACGTGACCCGCGCTCCGCCAATCAGCGGCCGCAACGTCACTGCGGGGGAGAAGATGGCGGCGCCGGAGGGACCGGGCACGGCGGCGGCGGCGGAGTTCGCGAGGCGCATCGACCCGGCCCGCGAGCCGGGGCTCAGCCCCGAGCAGCGCCGCCTCATGGCGCAGGTGGAGCACGCCCAGCGCCAGCGCGTCCTGCAGCGCCGGCTGCGCGGCCGCAACACGCTGCTGGCGCTCGGCATCGGCGCGCTGACTCTCGGTATCTGTATCCTCCGGGGCCGAGCCGGGCCGGGCCGGGGAGGGGCCGGGGCGGGGCCAGGGCGGGGCACCGGGACTGCGCCCGCTGCTTTTCCTTAACCCCTCCCGCGGACGGGTACACCTTCTACTCGGTGTCTCAGGAGCGGTTCCTGGACGAGCTGGAGCAGGAGGCGGAGGCGGCGCGGGCGCGGGCTCGGGCTCGGGCCGAGGGAGCGGCGAGCTGAGCGCGGAACGCCCGGCCCGGCCCGGCCCGGCCCGTGACTGAGCTGCTGTCCCCGCGGGGCTGGACGGGCCTCGAGCCCAGGGCAGCCGTGCCCCGGGGGTTCGGGCCTGCCCTGTGCTCAGCGTGGGCCTGGGGAAGGTCCCAGGAGCTCCCTGCGGGCACCCCCAACCCCGGGGCCTTTGCTGGGTTTGTACCCGTGGGAACGACAGGGGTACCCAGGTCCCACCACTCCTCCCAATAAACCCTCTGACTGGAAACTGTGTGACTGCCCGTGGAGCAGCTGCTGGGCAGAGCCCGGCTCAGGATCTCACCCCCACGGGGGGCTGCTGGGGTGGGATTTTCTGTTCCGCTCTTGATTGTGGCGCAGCGAGGCCAGCGGCCCCTGGTCCTGCCCAGCAGACACACACACACACACTCCATGTGTATTCAATCCATGTTTATGAAAATGCCTTCTGCACACCAGTTCTTAACAAAGTGCTCCTGGATCCTGCAGCTCCATCCTGTGACAGGGCCGTGGGGAGCTCGTCCTCACAAGGGGAGGGGGATGGAGATTGGCATGATGCAGGGCTGGGCCGAGCAGGGGCTCCAGGGTGGGCTCAGCTCAGTAAAGCCACAAGAGGTGGGGACATCTGGCACACATCCTCCAGCAAAGGGGCTGGGGACAGCGGGGAGGGCACAGGGTTGGAGGTGGGACAGACTTGCCCCCAGCCAGCTGCGCTGCCCCTGTAGAGCCCACAGGGTGCCCACCACAGGTCCGAGTTGCCTGGGGCTGGCACTGATGTCCAGGGGCTGCAGGAGCTCTGCCCCAGGGCCTCAGGCACTTGGATGAGGTAGTTCTTGAAGTCACTGCTGGCCAGCTGGCTACTGTGGAGAGAGGTGACCATATGAGTCAGGAGCGTCCCAGGATCACCCCTCACCCTTACCCCTCACCCTCGCCCCTACCACGCGGCCGAGGTCGTCGGCGAAGGTCACGCCCTTGCTGAGCCGCTGCTCCTGCGAGCCGGTGCTGCTGCCGCTCAGCGAGTTACGGCGCATGATGCCTGCGGGGACAGCGGCCCTGAGCGGGGGCAGCAACCCTACAACACCCACCCCGCAGACCCCACCCAGCGTGGGGCTCTGTGGGGAGCGGGGCTGTCACCTGCGGGCTGTGCCAGCTCCAGGCGCTGCAGGCTGTTGCGGCGGGAGGGGTTGAAGCTGCCCTTGGAGAGGCGGCGCTGGCGGCTGGACAGCATCGCGGCGGGGGAGACGATGCCCAGCGGCGGCTGCTTCCCCATCCGCAGGTACAGCTCCTCGATCTCCTTCTTCTGGGCGCTCTGCAGCAGCTGCACCTCGGCCAGGTGCCTGAGGAGGAGGGCACGGCGTGTGGCAGCAGGGCCTTGGGCGAAGGAGCGTCGCCCTCCCACCTGGGGTGGGTGGGAGGACCTGTCCCCTCCCGCAGGCCCCGCATCAACCTCCTGGGGTGCATCCCACCCCCCTGCTCACTTCTGGCGCAGGTTCTGCAGCTCCTCCCAGATCTCCTCGTCCTCGCTCTCAGTGTCATCGCTGCTCATGTAGGTCAGGCTGCGGGGGTAGCTCAGCCACACCTGGCTCAGCACGGCCTGGGGGGTGCTGTCTGTGCCCTCCTCCCCAGGGCCTTCCTGGTCGCTCTCCAGCGGCGCCACTGGCACCGTGCCCTCCTTGGCCGGTGCCTCCTCAGCCTTGGCTTCCTGCTGTGCTACCTCCAGCACCGCATCCGAGTCATTGCTTGAGCTGTGGCCCGTGTCGGGGGCCATGGGAGGTGGGGAGGCACTCGCTGCTGGCCCCACTTGCTGCTCCCCCTCACTGCTGCTCCTGTCTGGCACGGGGGAGGGCGCAGCCAAGTCCTTGGCTGGTATCACCTGGAACCGGCCTAGCATCTGGGGCTTGGCTTCTGCTGGGCACAGGGGCAGCTGGTGGGGTTGAGGCTCATGGGCGGGAACATCATGTGCCCCGGCATGGGCACGGCCCCAGTGCAGCCCCAGCCCTGCCCCACCTCACCTTCCTTGATGGGTGAGAGCCGGGCCATGGTCTCGGCAGGGGCCGGCGACTCCGACACGATGAGTGAATGGCTGGGCTTGGGGACACCGGGCGGCACCTGCGGGACCTGAGCGCCATCAGCTTCCCCACCCCATGTCCCCCCACATCTCCTGTTCCCCCAGCACTGCTCCTGTGCCCTGGGACCCACTGTCCGCTCAGTCCCCCCTGTATCCCAGTGGCTCCACAAGCCACGAGGCTTCCTGTTCCCCAGCAGCTACCACCCAAATCCCCCTGGGAGCTTCACCTCAAGCAGCCTTGGGGAACCTTTGCAGCCACACACTCACCGTGCTGCCCTCTGGGCTCCCTGGCGTGGATGAGCTCAGCGGTGGCGGGGGACTACTCGTGACCTCGCTGTCTGTGGGGCACACTGGGGATGGGGCTGGGGATGGGAAGGATATGGGCCCCCCGGCAGTGGAGACATCAGCCCCTGGTGACTCCTGGATCCCACTGCCAGCCAGGACTGGCTTGACTGTGCTGGTGGGGTCGGGGTAGACAAAGCGCGGGGCCCCCAGGGCAAGACTCTGTGGCCGTGGCATCAGTGGGGGGTAGAGGTGCCCACCCGAGCTGGCAATGGGGGAGACAGTGGGCAGCAGTGTTTGGGCCACGCTCATCACTGCCAAGGAGAAGACGTTGGCCAGGGACAGGAGGGGGGTGGTGGGGGACCAGGGTGTGCTGGTCACAGGGGGGCTCAGGGGGCTGCTGAGCTCAGAGGGGACAGGGGACGTAGGGAGAGGCTGTGGGGACACAAGGGCTTGGGGCAGGGCCGGAGGGACAGGCCCTTCTGGGGTCCTTGTGGGGGTCTGTGGGAACAACGGTGACGACGGGAGCCAGGAGGGAGCCATCGAGAAGAGGGGCCAGGTCTGCACGGAGCCTGCAGAGAGAGGAGTATCAGGAGCAGCTCCCGAGTGTCACCTCCTCCCCAGCCCTGGCACCCCAGAGCCTCGAGCTGGCAGCCCTGGTGCGATGGACACGCCTGGCCCTGCCAGTGCCGCTACCTGTGGGGGCCTCCAGCAGCGCTGGGGCTGCCAGAGCCTCTGCGGGACCAGCCAGGTCGGTCTCTGATGGGGAGCGGCTCAGCGACGGCAGGACAGGAGACTGCTCAGAGAGTCTGGGACTGGCACAGCTCAGGTCTGCAGCACAAGGGTGACAACCAGGCTCAGCCAGGGCAGGACATGCCCCGTGAGACCCCCCAGGCTTGGCTGAGGCCATCCCCTGCCCTGCATGGGGCTTGGTGGGGATAAGACGGGCCCATGAGGAGGCACAGACATACCACTGAGCGAGGATGAGGAGATGGAGCGCGAGAGCCCCTGCAGCTGCAGGTCCACCTGCAAGGAGGAGGAGCTAAGCCCAACACTGGGGCAGAGGCCCCAGCCAAGCTGTGCTAAGCCCCACCCTGGCCCCACCACCTGAGGAGACAAGAGCTGGAGGCTGTGCCAGGCAGGGGACCACCACCACTTGCCACAGCGGTGGGCAAGTGACCACAGGAGGACCCTGTATGCCAGCCCCCTCCCCCAGGGCTCTCTGGGACCAGGCAGCACCCCCAGCCACACTCAGCATCAACAGCTTTGCCAGCACTGGAAGGGCCGGGCTGGCACTCACGGGGCTGCCCACGCCACCCTCAGCCTCGGGGCTCCTGGGCAGCTCGGCGCCGCTGCGCCCGTCCTTGCGCAGCAGGGTCTCCACGCGGTGGATGATGTCCCGGATGCGGCTGATGAAGCCATCCCGCTCTGACTTGAGAATGAACTCATTGTGGACCTGGGGGCAGAGAGGCTGGTCAGCGGCTGGCACAGGCAGGCAGGCCCTCACCCTCACCCCGCACTCACCATGACAGCTGCGATTTCCTCCGGGTTGTCCCCATCCAGGTCAAACTTGAAGGTCACCATTTTGTTGTTGTAGGTCTGAAGCTGGCACTCTACCACCCGGTCGCTCTTGTCGGAGATCTGTGGGTGGCAGGGCTGGCTCAGCCTGGGAGCGCCTGCCTGGCACCCGCCCGGCACCCGTGGCACTCACGTTGGTTATGCGCAGCCTGGACCGGGCTCGGCGCCGCAGCAGCTTCCCCGAGGCTCGCTTGGGCGGCAGCTTGGCGCTCTGCTCGCTGGCTGAGAGCCCCTCGCAGCCATCGCTCATGCCCGACGCCACATCCGAGGTGTAGCTGCAGGAAGCCCCAGGGCTGGAGCGTCGGCCTGGCTGTTCCCAGGTGCCACGCTCCCCATCCAGCCCCCGCCCAGCCTCACCTGTCCACCGGGGAGGAGAAGCCGCTGGCAGGGGGCAAGCGCTCTGTGGGCAGCTGCACCGCGATGCTCTGCGGGGAGAGGGCGGGGTGAGCCGGTGCCACAGCCACCCTGACCCCCCACACCCACGGGGCCTCACTCACCGTGGGGAAGCAGCGCACGGGCCGGGTGGGAGGAGGGCTGGCAGGGTCCCCAGCCACAAAACGGCGGTGGGCCAGGTCTGGGGAGTCCAGGAAGCCGGAGGAGCTCAGGTATCCATCTGTCTCACAGTCGGCTGTGGAGGAGTGCTGGCATGAACCAGAGCAAGTCCCCTCCCTGCTTGGGTGCCTGGGAAAGGGCTGTGGGGCTGGGAGAAGGAGAGGGACCCCTCACCCACCTCCCACCCCAGGTCCCCTGCCGCCCACCCAGCTGTCGCCCACCCAGTGCCTACGCACAGGTGGCCGAGGAGTAGCTGGTGTGCCGGTAGGCAAAGTGCTGGTGCTGGTCGGCCTCGGGCTCCTCAGGCTCCAGGGGGAAGGTGCTGCTGAAGACGGAGTCCCTGGAGCCAGGGATGGCTGGGGCAGGCGCGGGGGCACCAGGTGGCCGTGGGGACTTGAGCTCCTCCTCCGGCTCCGCAGGTGACGGCGCATCCTGGGCACGCTTCAGCTTCTCCCGCTTGCGCTTGATGGCGACCACTCGATCCCGCACTGCCTTGGCCACCAGTTTGTAATCGGCCTCACAGATGAAGCCCAGGACCACCTGCAGGGAGGGGGCTTGTCACTTTGGGGTGCAGGGACCCCGCAGCACCCAGGGCTCCCTTGTTCCCATCCTCACCATCTCCTGGGCCACTTCCTCTGCTACATCCTTGTAGAGCTCAAAGAGGAACTCGATGGCGTTGTTGTCCTTGTATTTGCCGTGCAGCTTCTTTGTGTCGTCCATCCGCAGCCAGAGCTTGAGCCCAGACTTGACACCGTCATCCTCCTCAGCCAGCTCCACATGCACCCCCGTGTCCTCCTGGAAGAAGGAGTGCTCCAGCAGGTCCTGGATGGTGTACCTGCAGGGGACACAGCTCAGCACGGGCTGGGGGCCAAGGGGGACCGTGCCACCCAGGCCCCCGCTCTGACCCCACCTCTCATTCTTGTCCATGCGGATGCAGCCTTCGATAATCTCCTTCAGCTCTGGCACCTTCACCTTGTAGAAGCTGCTGGGCTTCAGGCCCTGGGGGTGATGAATGTCAGCACCTCCTTCCGTGCCAACTCGCCACAGTGCTGGGCTCCCAGGGTCCAGGGAAGAACCAGCCCAGGGCCCCACTGGTGCTGCAGCAAGTCCCATGGCCAAGCCACGTGTGCCTGCACGAGCCAGGATGCCCTGGGGCTCTGGGTTTCCACCCCAGCAGGCAGGAGCTGGCAGGAACTGGCTGTGACCGGCCAGGGCAGACGCCGCGCCCCAGGCAGGGGGTGGCCAAGCAGACCTGCTCCTGTTCCACCCCATTAATGTGCTGGCAGTGCCTGGTGTAGGGCGAGGGACACAGGGTCTGGCCAAGCCGTGGCCCCCCCACCACCCACAGCTCCGTGCCCCAGCGCAGCAACCCCTCACCGGCCAGACTATCTTTAGCCTCTCGCACAACCTTCCCGGTGACACATTTTGGGCAGCAGCAAGGCCTGGCAGCTTCAGCTGACTGTCCCCCCCCTCCCCGCCCCTTGTCCTGGCTCCTGCAGCATCAGCCAGCAGCGTCACCCACGCCTGGGGCTGGGGCCTCACCGAGGTGACCTTGCGGTAGATCTGGGCAGCGTTCTGGCACTCAGAGTAGGGGTACTCCGAGGTGGCCATCTCCAGCATGCACATCCCGAAGGCGTAGACGTCCACGGCCTCGTCGTACTTCTCCTCGTACATCTCTGGTGCCATGAACTCGGGGGTGCCTGGAGATGGCAGTGCAGCTCAGTACCCCCCGGGGGAACCCACCCTCTGCAGCCCCCCCAGCCCCTGAGAGCCCGGCCTTGCTGGGACCCCACCTATGACACTCTTAGCAAAGGAGGCTCGCTTAAGTGTGGCCAGGCCCAGGTCCCCAATCTTGACTGAACCCGTGGGGCCCGTGATGAAGATGTTGTCACACTTGAGGTCACGGTGGATGATGGGGGGCGAGCGGGTATGCAGGAAATGCAGCCCCTTGAGGATCTGCCGGCTCCAGCGCTGCAGCACCTTCAGCTTCATCTCCTTAAACCGCTTCAGGTACCTGCCAGGGACCAACAGGGCTCAGACCCTCAGAGCTCAGACCTGCGGGGCTCGGATCACACCCCAACCCAGGCCCAGCCCACCCTCCTCCTGCTGCCATGCCAGGGCTATCCAGACTCAGGTGCCCACACGGGGCAAGCAACAAAGAGCATCTCAGCAGGGACCTCACCCTCCCTCCCCTGCACACCCCAATCCAGCGGTCCCTGCTCACGTTTTCAGGGTGCCAGATGTCATGAGCTCTGTGACTAGCACAATGCAGATCTGCCCTTTGATGGTTGACTTCCAGGAGTCGTAGAAGCGAACGATGTTGGGATGCTGCAGCCCCTTCAGCATCTCCACCTCCTCGCTGAACCGCTGCCGCTCTGTCTTCGACAGCTTCCGCGTCTGTGGGAGCCATCAAAGGGGTGAGGGGGGCACGTGGGGTCCTGCCGAGCACAAGGGGGTGCCCCGGCCATCCAGTCCCCAATCCCCCTTCCCCACGTACAAAGCAGCAGAGGCTGCTGTGACCCCAGCACAGAGCCGGGGTCAGACCTGCTGTCCCCCGGGACTCAGGGCTGAAGCCGTCCCGGAACGTGGCTTCCCTCCACCCTCCTCCCTCCGCCCCCCGCTCTGGGTGTGTGCACAACAGATGGGACACCGAGAACCTCGAGTACTTCCCCGCTGTCCTGTGCTGGGGCCGCCCATCCCTCCCCTCGCTCAGCCCCCAGCCGGAGCCCACCCCCTCCCCACAGGACGGAGGACCCCACCCTGCAGCCGCCCTGCAGAGGGGACACGCGGGGGTTCTGCAGCGACTGCTGCCATCCTGCTCTGTGCAGACCCAATGGCCACGGCCCTTCTGCCCCTGCCGGGGCACCAAGCTCTGCGTGGCGGGGTGCCGGGACAGCCTCAATGAGGCCTTTGTTGGGGAAAGCAGGCGGGGGAGGCTCCAGCCCAGGTTTTTCCATGTTCCTCCTGCTCGAGTTAATTAAACTGGAAACCGAAGCCGAGGGTGCTGAGTGGAGCTGGGGTCGGGGCCAGCGGAGGGGACGGACTCCTCGTCCTGGAGGGACACAGCCCAAGAGTGCAGGGAAGAGTGGAGCTGACTGAACAGAGCTAGAGGAGCCGGATCCTGCCCTGAGCGGGGCAGCTGCGAGTGCCGAGCCCTGGGCAGGGGCAGGAGCATCGACAGCTCCACAGGCTGGGGTCCCGATGAGCTCAGCTGCTGCACAGCCTGGGGGCCTTCCAGCTGGGACCCCTGCCCAGCCCGTGCTCGGGGGCAAGGAAACCAGAGCTGCCATGGAGCTCCCACCGCCAGCGCTGCCAGAGCCATGCTCAGCCCCTTGGCCGGTGGCCGCCATCCATCAGCCCCAGCAGCTTTCGTAACATTTTCATTGCATCACAGGTGGCCCCACGGCCGGGCTGGAGCCGCTTCATAATCCCCCCTGCATTTAACACACGCTCAGGGACCGGCTCAGCCCAGATGAGAACCTGAGCCTGCTGCAGTGGGATGAATGGGACCTTTCATACGCGGGGAGGAAAACAGCGCCCGAACCCCTGCGTGGCCAGCAGCAATCACCGACTGCCCTGCCCAGCGCCACAGCCCCCATCACGCCCTTCGGCTCCCCACTGCCCACAGAGGAATCCAGAGGCTTCGCTGCACCCCTCAAAACCTGCAAGGGCACGAGGAAGCTGTGAACAGGGGCAGAGAGGGAGTTGTGGGTGGCCACGGCTCTCCCAGCTCAGTGAGAGCAGACCCCACCTGAATCATTTGTGCCAGCATGGCCCCCATTGTGCCACCCCCAACCCCAGGCAGGACCCCAGCACAAGGCCACCTCTCCCAGGGTGCCTGGAGCAAAGTCTGGGGGAGCTGAGCGTGTCCCTTAAGCCCGTGCCAGGGCTGCTGGGCTCACCTGGCACCGCTCCTCCCGCATGACCAAAGTGGCAGCCGCTCCCAGTCCCAGGCATCCCGATGCTCTCCCCACTGATTGTGGGCATCTGTGGCCGGAGGAGCCCCAGGGAGGGCAGGGCAGGCAGGGCTGCCAGCATGGACATGCTGCATGGCACGGGCACACCACGTCCTCTCCTGAGAGCACCCGCACAGGGCGGAGGAGAACACTGGGAATGGTGGTGTGGGGACGGTGAGGAGCTGGTGGCAGTAGTCCAGCCCCATCCTGTGAGCCAGGAGCTGGCTGCCAGAGAGCCCGGCACAGCCAACACCAGGAGCTGAGGCCAGCAAGGGAGAAGGGAGGGCTGGGAAGGGTGGACGAGGATGGCTCTCGCCTCTGCAGCAGGACCTGTCCCCAGCACTTGGCAGTGTTGGTGCTCGGCACACTCTGCAGCACTCACAGGGCTCTCCTGCTCCCACAGCCCTTGGTTGTCCTGCTCCCACAGCCCTCCAGGGCCCTGGCTGCACAGTGGCACTTGCACTGGAGAGTGCCCAGCCATGGCCACAGCACCTCCAGCCACAGGGAGGTCCCAAGCCCCCTGCACAGAAGCCAACTCTACGGCAGCAGTGGGTGCCACTGGCTCACTGCCCAGCCCACAGGTCTGCCCAGCCGAGCAGGGAGCTCCTGCGTGCTCACAGGCATGTGAGCACACACACAAGGTGCCCCACAGCCCCAGGGCTGCTGGCTGAGGTTACCAGTCCAATCTGGGGAGGCACGACAGCACCCGCTGCCCAGGATTCTCCTGCCCACTGGGGAGCCCCAAGGGGTTCCACAGGAAAATCACTCACAGACAGGTATTTACAGCCCAACCCCACTCTGGGCCTCTGGTTTCCTCCCTGCTTCCTCCTTCCCCATTGCCCGCAGCACCTACCACAGAAATAGTCCTGGGCTAAAGCTGGAAAGCACAAACAGCGGGGCTGTGGACACAGGCAGGAGGCACAGACAGATGCTGTGTTCAGGAGTAGGGGGCAGTGGAACGAGGGGATGGGGTTGGGCAAGTCCCCAGAGGGGTCTCACAGGAAGACTGGACAGGCAAAAACCAGACTACAGTTCGCCAGGCTCTGAGGAGGGAAGGGCAGGGCGAGGACAGTAGGGAGAGCTGGGATTTGGGACTGGGACCCATCACAGCAGCTGAACAAGGCTCGCTGGTGCAGAACAGGTCAGGCCTGAGGTTAGGTATTCATTTGGAATTGAAAGGCAATAGAAGGAGAACTGTGAAGTGCACAGGACAAAGCTATTTTTAAAATGGCAGAACCACAACCACTTTTATTTGCGGTTCCAAATCCCATATTTGTGTCACAGTGTCCAACTCTTTGCATGATTGCTGAAAAAAACAAACTTCTGAAAGTCTGCCTCTGTGCCCCCAGCCCCTTGTGGGACATGGATTTGGGGACAAGAGACACTGGATAAAGAGTGCTCAGTGGGACAAAGCCAAATAGGGGGTGGGGAGGGGAGAGGGCTGGGGCAGAGGGGTGGAGGGAGAGGTGTAGGGGCAGCACTGGGGGGGAGCAGGGTTGGGGCTGCCCACAGGGATCTGGTTGTGCTCCCCTGGCAAGGTGTAGGCCAAGGAGAGCCAGGTCTGCCAAGGTCTACAACACCGTGGGATGCTCACAGGAGGGTCCCTGCCAAGAGCTCAGCTTAGACCCCGGCCTCTCTGCACCCACCCCCTGCCAGCTCCCCTGAGACCAAGTGAGTGGCTCCTGCCGCTCCTGCCTGGCTGACTCGCTGGACCAGCAGTGGGACCAGCATGTGCCTGCTGGATTGAGGCACAGGAGCATTCTGCTTCCCAGCTTCCTTTCCCCCACCTGGATAGCGCGGCCTCAACAAATGACCAGCGCTGCCCATGTGCAGCTGCAGGGGTGAGCAGGAGGGCAGGGAAGGAGATGTGCTGCCAGTCCCACTGCACACGCCAGGTGCCAGCGCAGGGGAGCTGGGGCACGGCTGTGACACGGGGCTGAGACCCGCAGGGAGGGACACACAGCCAGCCGAGTGGGAAGCACCGGGCACGGCTGACTCATCCAGAGGAGTCCTGGGCTCACCAAGGAGAGCCTATCCTCGGCAGTAGCTGCCACCCAAAGGGACATGGGACTCAGCAGAGGTCAGGGACATTTGGACGGAGCCGTGGGGCTGTGTGAGGGTGGGAGAACCGAGTCGGCTCCGGACTGAACTCTCAGCAATTCTGTGCAACCCATGAGGCAGGGGCCAATCCTCACCTCCCTCGCTAAGAGGCTACAGTCAGTCACCCAGAAACCACCCATCTCTCTCAGGATCTCTTCTTGCTCTGCTGGGCTGCAGCCACCCCGAGGACCCAGCCCAGGCAGACACCTGCCACTGCACCGAGCTTTTAGGAACAAGACAACAAACTCGCAAGACATGTTTTTCTGTGTCAACAAGGACTTGGACCTTCCCACCACAGCAGCCATCCCGGGGCCAGGAGCCTGTGGGAGACTTTGGACTTCACCAAAGCCCTTCCCCAGGGGCTTCAAGGAGAAAAGGGAGCCCCGTGGCACAGCTCTCCTTGTGCAACTCCACGGGCAAGATCAGCCCCGTCAAAACCAGCATCCCACTGTCTGCATGAGGCCGTAGGGCAGCAAAGGGGATGGTGGAATATGTCAGCAGAGAGGAACGCTCCTCAGAGACCTGGAAAACCACAGGTAGCTGCTCCCAGCAGAGAGCCCCTGGCAGCACCACAGAAACCACACACAGGTGCCCATGGACTCTACTTCAGCAAAGGTCAAGCAGGCAGAGCACACCAAGGTCGTGTTGTACCCTGGTCCCAACTGACACCCAGCCCCCACCTGCTGCAGGCACGTGCTCCAGAGCAAACCAAGGGCTGTCGGAGCAAACCTCGGAGTCATTTCCAGCACTGGCACAGACATGTGGGCAGGGAGGGCATTGCTGCCCTCCCAGGGGAAAATCTGCAAGCTGGTGGGCACCAGAAAGGCGGAGGGTTGTTCAGCCCCAGCAGCTCATCCTGGATCCACCTGTAAAGCCCCAGAGCAAGGGACTGGCACCAAGAGGTTGGGTCCCCTGGCATGCTCCAAAGCACAGGCAGCAAAAAGGCAAACGGAAAACAGCACGTGATGGGCAGGAGGGCCAGGAGCGGCGGTGCTAAGCAGGAGTCTGGGCCCGGGCCAGGAGCCCCGCGAGGCACCAAGGCGCTGGCAGCGATGGGCACAGCACAGGACAGCGAGGGGAGCCTGTGCCCAGACACAGGCCCCTGCCTTGCCTGGCTGCTGTGGCCCGACTGGCTGGTAGTGCCTGGCAGAAGTAGGGGCTCGAGAGTCCCTGCTGTGACCAGAACAGGCTCCAGCCCAGGAAGGTGCCCCAAGGGTCCCGCACAGCTTTCAGGCAGGCAGCAAGGGGCTCAGGGCTGGGGGCCTGCACATGCCAGGGAAACTGGACAGAGAAGGGGTCCAGTGACCCCTCTCGAGCCCCTTGCCCCGGGGCAGGGGTCTGCGGGTGCGGGTAGAGCGCGGGTTGGCAGGGGCGGAGGCGCTGGCAGGGGCCGTACCTGCAGCTCGCACCAAGCCACCTCCACGGTGGTCTCCGTGTCCAGCCCCTTGTAGACGGTCTTGAAGGAGCCGCGGCCAATCTCGATGTCGAACTTGAGGAACCGGCCGTCGGGGGAGGTGGCGACCGCCCGCGTCTCCACCTCCTCGCTCTCCGTCTCCTCCGGCTCCCGGAGCCCGGCGACGACCGGCGGCGGCGGCGGCGACCCCCCGCGCACCCCGTCCGGCGCCGGGTACCCCAGAAGCTCCAGCTCGGCCGAGCTGCGCCGGTTAAAACGGGAGGAGGCGCGCCGAGAGTCGCGACCTGAGGGCCGCCGGCTGCGATGAGGGGCCCGTCCGGGAAGCCCCGGCTCCGTCTCCGGCTCCGGTGCGGAGCCGTCGCCCGCCCGCTCCGCCTCGGGCTGGGACATGGTTCCGGCAGCGGCGGGCTCGGCCGCCAGCATCGGCTCAGCCCGGCCGGGGCTGCCGCTCCCGCGCAGCTTCGCACCCGTTGCCGCCGAGACCCCGGAGCCAGGAGGGACCGCCGAGACCCGGCCCGGGCACCGGCCCCAGCCCCGCCGCTGCCCCGCCCGGCGGCACCGCCCCCGCCCCGCACGGGCCCGCCCCCGCACGGCCACCTCCCCCTGCCCGCTCTGCACCACCGGCCCCGCACCGGGCAGGGGCCCCGCACCGGGCACCGACATCGCTCCGGCCAGCGGCCCCGGGACGGCTCCCAGCGCTGCGGCTGCGGACACGGGCTGCGCGCAGCGGGCGAGCGCCCCGGCATCACACCCGGCCGCCCCGCCGGGCAACGGAACCGTGGGCATCCCTCCGGGATGCGGGGTGTCCCCTCCCGGCCGGGGGTCACTGCCTGGCGCCCATCCAGGGCCGCGCTGCCGTGGCTGCCCAGAGGGATCATGCCCTCCCCTCCCCGCAGAGCAGCCCCTCTCCCGCTGCTCCTGCGGGGCTCCGAGGCCGCTGTGACCGACGGAGTGGGAAAGCGCCTGGTTTAGACGTTTCCCAGGAGTTTCTGACTCCGGTCACGGAGCAGCGTGTCCGGGAGCAGCCGCGTTCCGCTGCCTGGTCACGAGTCCCCCCACGGCGCCCCAGACAGCCCCCGCTCGGGTTCACTACAGTCTGAAATCCTGAAGTTAGGGTCACGCAAATAGGAAGAGTCGAAGGTGTGTGTCAGCCCCGCGGGAGCCAACAGCCGGACAAGAGCGTGTTGTCTCTCCAGGCTGAAGGAGGAGGTTGTTCTGCCGGTGAGGCTGTTTACACAAAACACAAAGCAATTGAGGCCACTGCTAATTTCTTTTCCCTGAGGTCAGATTGTTTCTACTCAACGATACCGGAAACATTAAGGAATGGATCTCCACGGGAGCGCTGCCATTTCCTCCTAAACGCTAACCTGGCACCCACAGTGTGACGCCAGGCAACTGGGGCTGCTGACCCGAAGTTCGGCTGTGGCCACGTCCGACACGACTGCTCCCCACAAATCCCTGGCGGCAGGAGGAGGGAGAAGCATTTAATGAGATGTGGTTCCTACAGAAACCATGGCCAAGGTGTGTCTTTCTCGCTGCCGATTTCCCCTCCGCTTCCCCCCCTACATGACCAGTTCTTCCAGCAATGCTACCCGTGCCCCTGTGGGCTAGCTCTGCGGCTGCCCCCACCCAGGGTTCTCTGACAGGGACCCTGCACTGCCTGGGCGCAGGAACACGGCCCAGGCTGGCAGGGAGCCCCTTCTCTCCTGTGAGACACACAGAAACAGGCAAAGATCTCAGCTTGGTTGCTGGCAGGGACATGTCCCCTTATCGAGGCTTTTCATCGTGAAACGAGATGCCTTGGAAGATCCCAGAGGAGCAGGGGAGTATTCCAGTCCAGTGAGGCTCCTGTAGACAGGAGAGGAAATTAGGGGTGATGTTTGCTCCAACTGCTGCCCTCCCGCACCTCCCTGATGAGCGGTCTGAGAAATCCCCTAGTCACCCCTGGCCAAATGCCACCCCACACCAGAGTTTGGCAGGGGGGAGGCAGCTCAGGCAGGGGCACAGTTCCCCCCCCGACCTGGCCAGGGACACCAAGCTGGAGACAACTTGGCCTGAAAACAGAGGGCTCCTGCTCCACAATCAGGTGCCCACTGCAGCTCCCCAGCGTTATCAGGGTGACATTTCTGGGTTGTGGATGCCAGTGCCAGCCCTCTCTTTGAGGAACCGCCGCAATCAGGGAACATAACCCATTTCTCACCTGCATTTGGCTGCCAGGAAGAGAACAGGGGACTGTGTAATCACTCTCCTTAGAATCAGATAATGAATCAAAGCCCTGCTCAGCTCTGGGCTCCAGCAAGCCCTGCCAGGAATTGTCTGTTCTGATTCCGGAGCTCAGGGCAGGATCACAGAGGGACCAGGATGGGGCCAGACAAAGATGTGTGTCCCCCCCCAGAGAGGGGGATGCACAGCTGGGGCTGCATGGCACAAGGTGCCCATTCCAGGAAGGGTCCAGGGCTCCAGGGACACCCAGGGCTTGTTTCACAGTTGGCTTCACCACCCCATGCCCACAGGAGCTGCCTTGCTCTTCCCTGTCCTAACCCATGTGAGTTCAGGGAAAAGGAGATGGTCCCCAAACCTCAGCTGTGGCAGTAACCCTGGGCAGATCACTGTGGAGGATTTCCTCAGCCCAGAGGTACAGATGGGACCCGCCTGCAAGTTTATCCCAACACATAAATTTATCAAACTGAAACAACTCTTGTTCCCGAGCAGCCACATAAAATAAAACCCCTCTCGGTGTCTTACCTCCCTGACCAGTGGGATCTGAGTGTGCCTGGCCTGATAGTGCCTTATCTCAGCACCAGAGCCCCTGGGCAGTGCCTCGCCCCAGCCAGCCAGCCCTAATCAACGTGGCCAGATGCAGCAAGGGCCTCTGAGGGGCCATGGGCCAGAGGAGGGGGCTGCATTAGCCCCCCTAGAAATGCCACAGGGCTGGACTGGGCAGCACCTCCAGGGCAGCAGCACCAGCCCCCATTTTACACCATGTCTGTTCCACAGAGGGGACATACTCTTCCTCCTCCTCCTCCTCTCACTGAGAAAGCAACTAAATAGGAAGCTGAAAAAGAGAAGGGAATTGCTGCCAGGAGCGCCTTGGAACGAAAAAGCTAGTTTTAGGCTTATCTAATGTCACATCAGCCATTTCCTAAGAAGGGAGCGAATTTAATTAAGAACACAGACTCCCTCAAGGACAGCCAGGTTACAGACAGCACTCCCAGCCTCACAGTGCTGGGAGGTCCCCATCACGCACACAGACAGCAAGGACAGACACCCTGAGCCTGACTGCTGGAGGCTCCGTGTTTGGGATCCACTGCAGACGCCTTCAGGCACAGCACTCTGGCCACAGAGGCAGGCAGAGCAACCAGGGAGGGATGGGAAAGCTTTAAATTTTGCAGCCCCTGGACTCCAGCATCTCACCCACACTGAGGATTCCCTGACACTTACACTGGCTGTCAGCAGGAGTGATGCCAGTGCTGGGTTGTCCCCAAGGGCAGGGCAGGCTGGACACGCTGCTCAGCACTGGCCAGGGCAGGTGCTGGACCCCCAGAACGACCACACTGGTCTGACCAAAGGTCACTCCAGCCCTGCCCCCAGCCTCCACCACGGAAAGGCAAGCGTGATCCTGCCCCAGCACAGCCATCTGGCTGCCTCAGGACTCATGGGGTCAGCAGCTGTACCTGGGCCACGGCTTCTGACAGGTTGGGGACTTTGTTATCAGCACCAGGAGTCCAAAGCTGAGTCATCCCTTTACCAGCCACGGTGGTACAGAGCTCACCCCGTCACCTCTGCACAAACCCAGGGGCTGCCAGCAGGCTGCATGTGCAAAATTAAAGTAAATGTTGTTTCTGATGGGAAAATAAAGACAGATGAAAACACCCACGCTGCTCTATAAATACATTTCATTTTAATCACCTGAAATTGGCTCCTTGGCATCCCCCAGCCCGTTTGGCAGCGAGAGCGTTTCCTTCTGCCACTGAGGGCCTCCACAGCACAGCAGCCACAGCCAGGCCCCTGCTCCTGCCTCACCCCCAGGGCACTGCAGTGGGACTGGGGGGCCCAGGCACGTGGCTGACAGGGGGCCCTTCGAGGACAAGCTCAGCCAGCCAGCTGGGACTGCTCCGAGGCTGTTACAGCAAGAAGGACCAGCAGCCGCCCCGCTGTTTTTCACTACTGGGTGGTCCCTCTCGGAACTGCCTAGAGCAGCTTCAGCCTCTCAAAACACATCAACAGGAAGAACAGACAGACAGAGGGTCTCAGGACATTTCTAAGGCGTGTCTTTGGAAGGGTTCGCAGACTCTCCTTGCCCCAAGAAATCCTGAGGATGCAGCTACTTGGAGTCGGGGCATGAAGCCAGGCCCGGGGAGCGACCCTTGTCAGCGAGACCGAAGACTGCAGCCGGGGAAGGGGGCTCCTGTCAGAAGAACTTGACGCCTCGGCCGTCATCCAGCGTGATAATTTCAGCCTTGTGCTCCTGCTGCAAGGCTTGCAGGGCACGGAGCAGCATAGCCTCATCCAAGCCATGGAACTCTAGGGAAGGACCAAGATCCCCATCAACAGGACCAAAAAAATAAAAAAAAAAAATCACATCAGGAAATAAACAGGATTGGGGACAGCAGAGTGCTCTGAAGGGCATTGTAACACTACAGCAAATAAAGAGTCACAGCTACACTGACAGGCTCATCCCTCCATCACTGCTTCAGGAACAGAGCCTGAAGGTCACCAGACAGCAGGGATGAGTCACAGCAGCCTCTAAGGCAGTGCAGGAGCTCGGCATGAAAACAAAACACCCCTCACCTCACCAGAGAAAGTGCTGGGCACTGGGGAAGTGAAAATGCAATTGCAGAGGGACATGTTCCTGCAAAGTGTTAAAAGCCTTTGGAGCAGCACGTGCCAGTGGTGTGGGGGGGGCAAGTTTGCATGTGAGATTTCAAAATATTTAATCTACAGAACTAAAATCTGACAGTTAACTATTTACAAGCTCCAATCCAGTGTGCTCTGAAAACCTGCTCTGGACCACGAGCTCTGACATTACCTTCATTCTCGGTATCATCCCCGCTGGCCAGCTCGTACAGCGTGAACACAGAGTTGGTGAGGCCATTCCTCAGCACCTGGGAACAGAAAGGCAACACAGCAAATCTCATCCCCGTGGCTCAACATCCTCCTACATCCCAGGGCAAGGACATAAAGCATGCACAGCACTCCAGGAGCAGCAGCAGCCTGGGGCAGCAGGGTCAGAAGTGCAGCCTGAGGGGACAAAGACCCCTGCCCCTCAGTTCTTCCTGCTCACATTTTGCAGTGACCATACACAGTGACACTGTCCTGTCCTCACCAGGGAACAGCCAGTGAGGCACTGGGGGCAGACAGTGGCACCCACCGCTCACACTGCAGCTCACAGCAAGCAGGAAGCC